ATACATAAGATGCAAATGCTAATAAATCATTTTGGTGCATAGTTTTGCTGGACCCGTAATGCCCAGTATCACCTGCTTGTGACACCTCCCATAAAACAAAAACTATAGAATTGATTTACATAATAACCTACTCAAAGTTAAGAGAATGAATAAATAACCTTTCATAACGGCAAACCAAAATCTACCATATTATTACAATGGGAATTGCCGAGTTTAAGATCTTCAACTTAACAAAACAAATTGTAGACTTATTGCAAAAAGCAATAAGTAATTTTTTCTTGTTTATTGTACCTAAGTGCTTGCTATAAACATCTACTATCATTCAAAATCTCATTACGTGCATTACAGGGCTCTAAAACACATAAATTAGCAGGTTTTTTTTCTTTAATTTCACAGATTTTATAAAATAAAATTTCATTCAGTTACGTACACATTTTTGGCTATTCAATAGAAGTTGAAATAGAGCGGTAAAACTCATCATGTGGTAGTTGGTTTCTGCATAAAATAATTTCCCATGTTGGTACTTACGTTACGTTATGAAAGAGCAGTTTGGTTATATACCTCTTATAATACACTAAGTAAATGCGGCTAATGCTGTCTGCGTTTTGGTGGTGTTTTGTTTTTAGAAGAGTTGTAACAGATTCTTTTAACTATTTTTGTTTTTAAATTGTGTTTAATAAAAATAAATAACATTTTTAATCATATCAAGTTATTAACTATTTATTGTGAGCAGAGGAAAATTGATGGTCGACCTAGCAAAAAAGCTATCTTCAGAAAGTACCTCACTTTATTGATTTTATATTGTAGATTTTGTTTATAAATTTGTGAAACTATTTTTGGAGTGCATAGTTTATTAGCATTAATTGTTTTATTTTCGTAGAATGCATGGCAGGATGTAAGTACATCTGTTAGATTAAAGAATGAAAACTCGTCCACTGTTATTGGAACTAATACATAGGAATATGAAATTTCAAATAATGAAACTTGAAAATGCTTTCTTTCAAAGGAAAATTGTAAAGAAAATCATCAGGTAATAATAAATAAATCCTGTCCCATTTAATGATAGGTTTATATGGTGATAATATGACTTGTGATAAGGGGCAGATCCAGTTGATCATTTTGGAGGGGGCCATCGTAGATTATTGTTAATAATAAACTCATTTCTTATTATATTGAATATTATTTATATTAGATATTTAGATATGACACTAAACAATATAATTGTTTAAATAATTACATTATTCGAACATAAATATTTCAATCAATTTTGCCCAGGAAGGTAAACGAAAACTCTGTCTTTGGGGGGGGGGGGAGGATTGGGGGCCATGCCTCCCCCCCCGGATACGCCAGTGCTTGTCATTCTTCAACTATTTTGTACATTGAAAAAACAGATTTTAAAGAAGTTGATGCCTTTTTGATAATTTTTATAATTAAGAAATGATAGCAAGCACAGTAAATTCAGTGGAAAATGAAAATGAGGAAATATGACAGTTGTTATTCCAAGAACACTTTTAAATTAAAAAATAAAATAAAAAATTTGGCAATTTCATTGCTAAACATTGCCTCTGAAGGTTTGGGAAAGTGTGTAGTGTAGTTTATAGATTCTATAGTCTTGTGTAGTTTATAGATTTATTCTTTTTTGTAGAATGAACAAAACGATTTTACTAAATCTGTCAGATTGGAATTTGAAAAACCAGATAATTTTATTGAAACTAATACATTGGAACATGAAAAGCCAACATGTTTTGTTTTGAAGGAAAGTTCTAGAGAAAATCATTAGCAGGAAATAATTCTCTCAATTAAAAACATGATTAGAATTATATTATTGGAAGTTTGTTGGGTGTAGCTAGTTGTAATAAATGTTAATTTGTAGATTGAAGAAACAGATTTTAGAAAAGATGATGCCACTCTTGATAATTTGTATAATGAAGAATAGGTAGAAAGCAAAGTTAATTTAGTTGTTACGCACTGAGGCAAAATGTCAACAACTTACTCAGGTGAAAAACCTTAATGAAAATGAATGATAAAATTGAAAAATCTTGTAGCATCATTAATTAACTTTGTCTGTAACAGATTTCTGCTAAGAAGATATTTCTTGTGAAGGTTCATTTCTTATTGGGTGTGAAACAGATGTTGAGCAAACATTATTTGTTGATAAAGACATACAAGTTGATGTAACTTGGAATCCAGATAAAGAAAAGGAATCCAGTAACAGATTCGGAAGAGGATTCTATCGATACTGCAGCATGTAAGGGAGATCAAGAACACGTCCCAGGCACAATAATAGACTTCAATACCAGCATCTGAAAGTCAAATATAGATTTTAAAAAAAAAACATTAAGTATTGGAGGAAATCAAGATGGGGCATTAGAGAAAAAAGCTCATTGAATAGACATGCATATAAAAAACTTCATAATGAATTTGCCTTATGAAACAAAAAAAGGTATGATGTCAACAAAGCAACCAAAAATTTTGAACTGTAGTAGCAGTCATTTCAAGAGTGATAACAATTTTACAGACAAAGAGAGGGACTTTATTTGCAGCCACTACTGGCAATTGACAAATTATCAACACCAAAAAGATTTTATTTCAAAGTGCATAAAACAAAATGAACCTGTCAGAAGAAAATTTGGTGTTTTACCCGAAAAGAAAAAAATGTAGTCGTGCCTACTTTTTACAAAAAGGGGAGTTAAAAGGGAGTTTGTCAACAATTTTTTGAAAAAACGTTGTGCATTAGCAAAGGCATTTGCTGGCATTACTGATGGAACTTCCCGTGAAACTGACAAAAGAGGTAAAAAAACTCCTCATAATAAAACAAAAGAGACAGATTTGATGCTAGTAAGATCTCATATTGAGAATTTTCCTGCCATGGAATCTCATTATTGCAGAGTATCAACTAAGAGAAAATACCAAGATGCTAAATTGACAGTAGCAAAGATGTACCAATTGTATGAAACAAAATGTAAAGATGAGAAGACCAAGCTAGTTTCACTTTGTACACAGAAGTGTTTTCAGAAAGGAATATAATATGTCATTTTTGGTTCCCCAGGAAGATCAGTGTTCCCCCTGTTACAGGCATGCATCTCAAAATAAAAATTGCATAGCAACTTCAGAATTGTGTCAATTGTACAAGGAACACATCAGATACCCACCAAGCAAAGCAGGTAGACTAAATCAAGACAAATGAAGAACCCCAGTTTTCATCAGCCACCTTTGACTTGTGAAGTGTTTGGCACTTGCACTCAGGGGAGGAGTCATTATTACATTACACACGAAAGTTGTATGTGTATAATTTTACTCTCTACGACTCAAAATCCCCTAATGGAGCTCACCGTTTTGTATGGATGGAGGCAGACCGCAAAAACGGAAGCTGAAGACAGGGGCAAATAGACTTTGCAGTTAATAAATGGCCTGACCAGTTGCCAACTTCTGTGAAGCACTTGTCCCTTTTCTCCAACACGTCATAATGAGATTCAACATATTGCAACTCTTCTTTTATTTATCATACTATACTATCAAAATTATCATACTAAGAAAATTGGCACTATCATTTCGAGCAACGAGAATGCCGGAAGATCAAATGTCAAACATTCTCTACAACCACAACCCACATGGAAAAAGGAGTAGGAGTAGGAGTAGACCAATGGAATGACATTTGAAGATGGATTGGTTGAAAGGCTTAATCAATAATGATGATGAAGAATGTCTAATTTGAGAGCTACTTCTATAGTTGTCATTCTACAGAAGTATCACACAAGGCACAAAAAATGATGTTCCTTGTCTACAAGTTGTAGTTGCCTTCCAGTACCCCAATAAGGGTGGTGAACTTACTAATTTTTGATAACAAATGTGAATCGCTTCCAAAATGACGTAATGGCCACCAATGACCCTAACTTCAAGTAAAATAACAGACCTTGTAAAATTGAAAGAAGCAAATATCAACCCATTCAAGGGCCAATAGAACTAATTCCAAAAAACTATTCATAGAGAATTTTACTCCATCGATATGAGAATGTTATTTAAATTTACTGTTTTGTAACTATTGTTTGTAAAAAAACTATATTGAAAGTATTTCAGGAGTCCTATTTTGTATAATACAACTTCTTTATTTGTGCAATTAAATAAGGTTCTCATTTAATTTTTCTTTGTTTTTTATTAGTAGCCAATGTAGCACTTTGTAAGAATATACTTCAAAATTTGACCAGTGTTGATAAGGCTGTTAAGAATATTGTTGAATAAACAGACCTATGACAACCAAACTAACGTATAAGACAACTTACAGTAAAAAACAACAACAGTCACAATAATGAGGAATGAAATTAATCATGAATATAAATATAGGAAAACAGCTGTGAAGACAGTTACAGACACGTAGGTTGGAAAAAACATCTTCCAAGAATCCCTTCTATTATTACCATCCTTATTCCACTGAAAAATTCCTAACAAATTATAAGACAATCGTTCCAGGTAAAACTACTTCGTATATTTTTCTTGAATCAACACTAGTTTTAAGCACAGGCTCACACCTCCAGAAGAACAAGAATCGCTGAGGGTGATTACAATGACCAACATAACCGGCAATATTTCATTATCTTCCCTCCACTTTATCTGTAATTCAAGTTTCTGTTACTCAAATTGACGTGGGCTCTGGCTCTATTGCATCCAGCGTTAGTTCATCACTATGACCCCAGACTTTTTATACTTGTTTAATACAATTTTAATTTTAACTCATTACTTTTGTTTCTTTTTTGTCTCTTTTTTTGAAATGTCAATATTGCTCTTGTAAACACTATACTTATTTCTGTCGCAGTTTACTTCACTTCCAATTCTTGACCAAGGAGCTTATTATCCTCACTACAGTAAATACATTTCCTTACTACTCTCTTAGCTCCTAGTCTCAAACATTTACAATCCTGTGCACTATATTTCAACACTATTTTTACGCCCATATCTGTAGCAGTTAAAGCAAAGAAACATATATCCACTAACATTCTTCTTACATTGCATCGAATATTGAAGATCCATGCCTTCATCCATACCTCCACTGTACATCTCCAAATCTAAATTCGTTATGGCAATTCTTGAACTTTTTGTTTGCTTCACCTTCTTGACAGTAACTTCCAACAGATTAGCACATACACCACCATTTTCCTTCACTACATTTCACACAACTCTTCCACTATACTTGTATCATTGGTTTTACGACTCACAAGCATTTCTGCTTATTTTGGATTTTAACAATTTTTTTCATCAAACACAGATGGTACTCTATCAAATATATCCAAGTTGGTGAGAAACAATATAGCTCCTCTTCTACGAAAAAATCTAATAAAACCTACAAACAATCATTTTGTACAAACAAACACTTGAAAATAAGTTGAACAAGAGGGAAATACAAAAGATTTTCAATTAAAATGTGATTTTTAAACCAATCGCCAAATTAATTTGTGATTGTACATTAACATTTAAATCAAGACAGAAATTTTGCACATTTCTTTCAAACATTTACCTCTCTGCAAAGAAGTGTTATAATAAAGTCATTTAGATACTAATGCTGTAATAAATCCAGAGTCATAATGACACTTATTATAGTATGCAATGCTGAAAGTTTATCATACATCACATTGTTGTTGCCAAAATAATTTATACATACAAATTTTAACGATAGTTGACTAACTGAAAAACATTCACATACCTTCATTATATTCAAATTCATCCAATACACGATCAAGATCAACTGCAAATTTCTCCATTACTAGGGCCAACGTCCAAAGAATCTGTTCGTCTCCTTATTAATATCTTCTTCCTAAAAAGAATTGTTTTTAATGACAACAATTTTTTTACATTATTTCGAATTGGATTTAGTATAAAACATTTAAACATTATGTAAAAATTACAATTTTAAATGTCATATTACTGAATTACAACTAGTCCTCTAATGTCATATGACTAAAACCACAGTCCAAAGAAAACATCCAAACAGTTTTTCCATTTGCAAAATAATTATAATTACAACGAATTCTCTAATTTCTAGACATACCGAAAACAAATTTCACGTCATTCATGGCATTCAATGAGCCCTATTTTCACACGTCATTGCATTTCAATCCGTCATTCTTCTGTGTCAATCACACCTCAACAGTATATTGCAAAAGTGAAGTACACCGATTCTCAAATCAAAAAGAAGAGTCAACAACAGCACCCGTTGAAACGAAAAATTACGTTTTGACATATTCAACTTACTGTATGATTCTTTGAACGAGTCCTGAGTAGGGGAGAGGAACTTCATGTTAATTCTCGCGATCTGCCTTACGATTTACCTCACTGCTGCCCTCGTAGGATGAACGACAAAACACAACGCGGGAGGGGGGAGACACTACTAATTCCAAATCCGGCCGGAATATGCCTGAATGGAAGAGAATTGGTACGAAGAAAATATCCGACACGGAAATGACGCCAGAAGCACGAGAAACATGATTTTACGTAGGACACCTTAGACACACGGTAACAGAGGAGATTGTGGAAGACTACCTGACCAAAAACGGCATTCAGAAAGAAATATCATATGAATAACTCCTAACAAAGGGACAGAGCATAGCATTTAAATCAGCAGTCCCCTTCTAATATCTAGAGGAAATATAGAGGGCAGAACTCTGGCCGGAGGGAATAATGGTGCAACAAGGCTTCTTTCGCCGCCCCCCTGGATACCGACGAATCGAACTTGAATAATTCATGCAAAGCATCGCACATAAAGATAATGAACTGGAATGTGGAAGGATTGACAAGAGTACATAGATTATGTACTGCCAACTACTGGATTCAAAGACACAGACGCTGCCACACTGTCAGAGACATTAAATGCCGTTAGCAAACCACAGACGTACCAAGTTTCTACGATGTACAATTCGCGAAAAAGGGATATGGGATGCACATATGATGGGATAACGTGCATACTATCGCCGATGCTAGGTCAATTTGAAGTCATCCACAAAGATGAAAGTATTCTAGTTGCAAAGACAACTCACGCCACAATCATAAGCGGCTTCTTCAACCCTACCTTCACCGCAATCGCAATTGACAACGTATTATTCATACTCAGCAGAATACAACATATTCGAATAATTATATCAAGGGTTCTGAACTGCAGGTTAGACATACCAAACGACAAGACAAAAGCTGTGCTAAAGTACATGGAGAAGGAAGGACTTTAATTGGTAAATAACAAGCAGATGATGTCATATATAGCACATAACGGAAGGAGTGCAGTAGATATCATATTGGTAAGAGGCCGCACGGTGATAGAACAGCGACAAATGTGGAGAACTGACGCAGCACTTATCAGAAAACACATCCAAGTGATTACCACCCTGCGCATTGACAATGCTCACAACATCGCACGACAGAAGCCTGAGTGCAAATCAAGAGATCTAGATCTGAAAAAAACAAAACAACTAGAACGTGAAGCACAAAACATAGAAACTAGTATCGCACAAGAAGACATTACGGAAACCACAAACAAAATCACAAAAATTATACAGAGTGCAACAATAATGATTCCACAACAAAAGCACAGAAATGGTTTGACAGTGAATACTACCAAACAAGACAGGAAGTACTGATCAACCAAAGAAACATGAGAAGAGACAAAACAGAGAGTGCAATGACGAAATATAGCACAGGGAAGATAAGATACAAAGCCACGATAAAATAAAATAAAGATGTGCACGTAGAGAAAGAAATATGAAAATTATTGACGGACTGGAGGAAAACCCTTACAAAGTGATACGTACAGGACAACCTCGCTTCCCAGTAAATATCTGCATAAAAATTGGAAGAGCCCATAAGAACAATAGTGGATCACAAAGACACCACACCAATGGAAATAAATGGAGAATGGTGTCCGTACGAATTATTCTCTTGTCAAGGAATGTATGTATGTACTTGGCGCGACAACCCGTGAACGGGCCAGGCCTACCGGCGACGTCCCTGCCTCGCGGCCATGGGTTAAGGGGGTACTTGTGGTTAGCACGTAGACATCCCCACGCCGTATTCCGGTCTTCTCAACCTGAGGAGTGAATTTTATCATCGTCACACAGCAACATATACTGGGACATTGCAAGGAAGACGCACACTATAATATTCCCTCACCGGGAATGGGACACGGGGCCACGTAGTGGAAAGCGAGAGTCTAGAAGTAGAAAGGGCAATGAGAACATCGAAAAACCGAAAAGCGGCAGGATCTGATGGGATATATTACGAACTTTTAAAACTAACACTTAAAGTACTGAAAAGCACATGGGCAACACTGATGAATAATGCCTAGAAACTGGAGAAAGACCATAATCATGTAAAAGAGCAACATTAAAACTTCTATACAAAGGAAAAGGATGCGTGGTCTGGGCTGTCCGGGTGACGCCGCGTCGAAGGCTGTTTTGCCGACGTTTCGACCATCTTGTCGTGGTCTTCCTCAGGGCTGACATGCCAGCTGACAGCTCATATCACGCACATAATTCTGGCCGCGGAAGCCTACGACTTCAAAGGAAAAGGATATTTCAGCGGCCCGGAGTCATACCGCGGCATAATACTAGAACCGACAATATACAAGATCTAAATAAAAGTGCTAGCTCAAAGAGTGCAATAATGCGCGGAGAAAATATTGCCGGATGAGTAATTTGCCTACAGAGAAGGCATGTCCACGCAAAACTTGTTGAAATATCCTTTTCCACGCAAAACTTAATGAGGAACATCCAACGCACAACAACAGCTATACGGTATCTTTGTGGATCTAAGCAAGTCTTTTGATAGAGTCAACAGAAACATCTTATGCAAGAAAATGATAGAAGGGGCTGAAAAATCATGGCTCAAGAGGCTGATAGTAAATATATTGCGGGAAAATTACTTACAAATAGACGACAGCACTGAAAAATTAGGAGAAATATGGCAAAGAATAGGAGTATTACAAGAGGATTCCCTATGCGCCTTATTGTTAATTTTAATGCTACACGATGTGGAAAAGAAAGTCAAAGAAAAGACAGACGAGGCTGAAATATACATATACGCTGATGACTTAGCAATAGCTTCTAGAACCACTTTTGAACCGCAAAAAGCAGCTAATGCTCTAACTGGATGGGCAGACGAGAACGACATGATAAACGTAAATAAGACAGGACTGTCAGTATTCAGAAACGGAGGTAGAATGCACAAAAACAGCGACATAATATGCAAAGGAAAGAAACTGAAAGTACAAACATGACACAATATCTAGGGATCATCTAGGGATCTACAAACTACAGGAAAGTGTTTCTCAACGCATATTAAGCAACGAATAACCATGGCAATACGAAATATGAATGATATTATGTACATATCGCAAATGTCCTTTGGAAAAGCAATGAGATGTTTGGAATTACGTTTGATGCAAAAGTAATTCCAAACATCACCAATGGAATAAGTCAAATATGGCCACATCCAACACAAAAAGCAACTAGTAGCCTTGGAGGGGGGTCAAAGCAGCATATCTCAAAAAATGTCTTTGTGTATACAAATACGCCTTATCCAGACTGGCATACGAACTCACTAAAGAAACATTCCTACTTGAAGACATACGTCTAAAAAATCTGCTGACCACTACGACAGCTCTACAGGTGTCCTAGAAGAAAGAAAACAAAAAGAGACATCAGGGAAGAGTTCTACACAACATGACCTATAAAAACTGGATGAAATCGGGTTTCGAACATTGACACGTAATGTCGCGACTGGCTTCCACCACTGCATCTACAGCACAAAGAACTACCACTCTCCGTGTGAACAGTGTGGTGTGTGTGTGGGTGTGTGTGACATATGTGAAGTAAAGTGTGGAAGAGAGCATATCTTAGACTGTAAAAAGAGAAAAATAAGTTTAATAGAATACGCCGGCATGTGGTGAAAGAAAACCAAACAATAATATAATACACGATTGTGTGAAATCCATCCCATTAATATGCCTGAATAGCAACTTTGCCTCTTTAAGACGCAAACGAGAAGTTTGCGTCTTAACAAGTACAGGACAGGACAGGATGGATTTTGTGTCGTCCAAATAACGTTTCAATAGTGTTCCATATGTAATATTTAAATGATAAAAGTCGAAAAGTTTGTAATATCACTTTCATGCATTATTGGAAGGCTTTAAGCTTTGCTACTTAAATTTATAAATTTATTTTTCTTTTAAAAAGTTGTATCTTTGTTAATGGTATATTGTCACTGAAAAGTGTATTACTTACTGATGACGTAATTTTAATTTTTTAAATTATGTATATGTCTGTGTGACAGAGCACAAGATTTTCTAAAACCATTCTTAGTTGGTTTTGAAACATTCAGTTGATCTCTTACGCCTTACTACATAATTCACGAACCTCCAAATATTTAAATGTGATACCAGAAAGCTTATCACTAGAGCCCGGAATTTTGGCAAAGTGGCACGTTTTATTGTTTCGATTTTATGACTTTTAACAATAGGAATCACTTAATTGTAATTCTGGAGTTGTTTTAATAGATTTTCATTTCGCCCATTTTAGCTTCTGATGCCTATTTTGCCTTATTTTTTACTTTTTCGTTATTATTTTTCTTGTTTTCTCCTGGTTTCGATTGTGCTGGAAACATACCTGCACGCCTGGTTCGTGTTTTGTCTTTCTGTGAAAGTGGAGGCTTCAGAACCATGAAGTGTTATAAATCTAAATGAGAAAGGAAGATAATACCAGTCAAGAGTTTTGATTTTTTCAACTCACGAGGAATCTCTTGCTACATTTGAGTACGGCCTCCGATCTTATTTGAGAAGAGAACTCTGTATATTATGTACACTACTCGACGCTGGGGATTACACTAGTGGGAATTCACCGTTTTCAATGATGCCGTCTCAAGATTCAAAACGGAGTCCACAATAGCATTTCAAAAAGACAGCCTCGCGAGTAATTTTTTTATTATCAGAAATTCTTAGTACCTGATATTATTTATAATATAACACCGGATATTAATATAATTATATACCAGAAATACGAAATTCTTAGTCATCATGCTGGGTGGCCATGTGCAATCACGATTACCAAGAAATGATAATTTACTTACACGTAATTGCTAATGTAAATTTTAGAGTTAGAGTAAAATATGAATCATTTGAATTATTAATTTATTACAATCATTCCTTTTAAATGAGTTTTTGCATTGTTCACATGCATTTTTGCATCCCTAATTTAATAGTTGAATGACAAAATAAGTGCCTTTATACATTCCTAATTTAGTCAAATGCTTTTTTTATTTATTTTAGTAAAAATTAATGCCTTTTTCCTGCCTATTTTAGGTAAAATAAATGCCTGGTCTTTCGGGCTGCTCTACTTACCACACTTTAAAACAAACTTTTTCAGGCGTTACTCCGAAATTGTAATGCTGTTTTCTTATGGTTCCCTATACCTTCAGTATCTTCGCCATTCCCATTATACCCATACTTTTTTGCAACTCAAGACCAGCTTCTAGGTCATTAGCGACCAGTATTAGATTCAACGTTATGGTTACTGTAAAAATGACATGACATTGTGATGATAGGGGGTGAAAGAACGAACAGGAATACAGCCATGATCGGTTCTCATTATGTTATTGTGCTACATAAAGATACTTTGAAATTGCCGTGAAAATAATATCTATGAAACCAGGGTAGGTTTGTTAAATGATATTAATTCCAGTGAATAGTTTTTAACTTTTTAACTGTTAAGTTGTCTAACGACATAACGTTACCTAAAACATACTAAATAGCAATAACAGTTTTTAACGAAAGTTTCCATATTCTTCGTTAATATCGGTTGCGAGTAATTTTATGATAGAAATTAAATACTTATGTTTTCATTCAGAAAGATTCTTGACAGCAAGTGCTGACAAAGCAATGCAGAAACGCAATATTGTGCTATGTAATAGCACCTGAAAATATTTTTTTCTAAACACTAGGCCTTACCACACGCACATGGTAATCACTTAGGATGAGAATCAAATACAATTAAATATGGTGACAATTTCAATACAATGAATTAAGGAAGAGATGTAAATTCATTCATTTAAAAGATAAAAACAAACAACAAAATTCTATCATAGACTCATTCGATTTTAATAATTTTAATAATAATAATAATAATAATAATAATAATAATAAAATTTGAAAACGTTATTTAAAATTCTTAATGAATTTTGGTTAGATACTAAAACAATAAACCTAATTAGGCCAAATGTTAACAAATACTTCTTCCAAAGTGAAATTTAGAGGCGAACTATATAAAATTTTGGATAAAAATTGGAGTTCGACAAGGGGATGGTCCTTCAAATGTCTTGGAAAAAGTTATAAGACAATGCAGGAAGAAGACACTGGAAGAAAATCATATCAAAGACAGGATACGATTCGGCTATAAAAGAGACAACCTAATAGTAGACTGCCTGGCTTTCGCAGATGATTTAACAGTATTGTAAGACTCAGTAGAAACATATATTCAGCAAGTTGAATTTTTGAGTGAACATGCCACGAAAGCCGGTCTACAAATTTCTTCCAGCAAACCAAATTTATAATAAATATTAAGATTATTCTCTGTAACAATTAAGACAAAATATGATATAATATCTAGAGCAGATCAGAAGTCATCTGGTGTCTGAAAGCAAAGTCGCTCGCCTTTCACCATAACAGGCCCGAGTTCGAATCCCCGGACAATTTCATGTGAAATATGTTCGAACAGAACCAGTTTAGCTGCTTCAATAGGGATAATCCTACCCCTGTGAAATGTACTAAACCCTACCCCAATTCTAATTCCTTCCCAATTTCTGGCTGCTGGGTAGTAATGCAGGAGCGTGTAGTAGGAGGCGCGTACGCGAAGATGTTACCTGGCGGTCTTCTTGACAACTGACTGCGACGAGACGGGACGGATATGGTAATGTTACATTATTACATTACATTAACTGAGGGTTACTCTCGCGCTATTGTTAATGGAAGATTACTTCTAAAGCGCAAAGCCCTGAACGTTTCTCAAGGGGCTTGGAGACGCGTTGCGTCAACTGAAGATGCAACAATTTTTCATTTTCATTTTCAAATAAAAAACAACAAATATTTTGGAGAAATTATAGAGGAAAATATCTCGGAGAAAGAAGCCATTAAATCTAGAATTAACAAATTGACGTTAGCTGCAAACCCAACTAAAGATGTTTGTAATAAGAAATCAATTTCCATCAACGCAAAACTACGGCATTATTCAACAGTAGTTAGACCAAAGGTATTGTATGCAACGGAATGTCTAACCCTAAATAAGAAAATGTTACAGGAACTGGAAACTACTGAACCCAAAATTCCCAGGAAAAGTTTGGGCCCAATTAAAATTGGAGATCAGTAAAAGTGACGTCATAACAAAAAAACTATACAAAAATATAGAGAAAATTGCGGACAAGATGAGAAAAAGAAGAATTATATTTTTTGGACATTCTAAAGATTATATTAGCAAACATTAAGTGGAAGACTTTTCATTATTTCACAAAATTAAAAATTATTAATAAGTAGTATAAAGAAGTTGAAAAGGACTTGGAGGAGCTCAAAATTACACCAGCAGATATTACTAAGCGGTCTTCAATGATGACCAAACTCAAGAAATTCTCAGGATTTGAAGACAGGCCAAAAAAGAAGACAAGAGCCATTTGGACTGAGGAGAGGAAAGAGAACCATTGCTCGAGAATGAAAGAGATATGGAAGCAAAGAAAAGAAGAAAGAGTCAGAAAGTTGAATAAGCGTAGTCCATAGTGGCTCATTGGAAAATAAATAAAATAAGGGAAGGATTTTGAGGTGCAAATTATGGTCGTAAAAGGGGGGAAAAGGTTCTGAAAATCTGGTTCTGAAAGTCTGGAATTCCAGCCAAACTTGGTACATTGTTTGCCCATTGTTTACCCACCAAATATTTTCGTTCGCCCTCCCACGCCAAAAAATTAGGAGGACAAGACATTTCGGGACAGTCCAGGCTGGCCGGGAAAAATCACATATTTTCACGGAACTATGTATAACGTTTTCCCATCATTTGACCAGGTTTGCTCATCAAAAAGTTTCGTTTGCCCACTCCCAGAAAAAACTTTGTCGTGAAAAAAGTATTCAGGCCAACTTCAGGCTAGCCGTAAAAAATCGGGAATTATAACCAAACTTCGTACATCGTTTGCCCTTAAAATTTTTCGTTCGCCCACTCACACAAAAAAGTTACACGAAAAAAACAAACAAAAAAAAAAAAAACAACCAACAACAACAAACTGACGTGACACCTCCACGCTGGTCTTAAATTTCTGATATTATTACGAAACTTAGTGTATGGTTAGCCTATCGTTTGGCCACAAACACTTCGTTTGCCCACCCACACAAACCACTTAATGAAAACAATTTTTGAGCTAACTTCTACTTCATCGAAAAAATCTCTAAGAAAAGTCGCACATAATTTGTTTCTTATGTCTCATTAATTAATAATAAATATAAATAATTAATAGCAAATTTGTCTCGTAATTTGTCCCATATGCTCAAATTAGCTCAACCAAGATTTTGTTTCACCTACAAAAAAGACAAAAAAATTCGAGGCCAGTTAACACCGAGCGAAAACTTCTAAGGATATTAAAATGATCCTATAATCAAACTTCGATTTTCGTGTAATAACTAGAATAAAAAAGCACATTTTAAGAAATTATCATTCACGATACTTCTACAGATGTAAAAAACGTAATATTGTATAAAAAATGTGTTCGTCACACCGCAAATAGAGTTTTCGTTTGCCCAGAAACAAAAAAGCAACGTGTATTTGTAGCGGGCTCCTTGCAACGAAGTCGCTGGAATGATCGGTCAGGCTACTTCTTATGATGAAGGGAAAAGTGTGAATATGATGCTTAAAAGTGGTTTCTCGTTTGCCCATAGAAAATTTTTGTTTGCCCGGGCACAAAAATGAAATTACAAGCGAAAGTGTGTATTTCTAGGGTACTCCGGCAAGCGCATTTGCTCATATGATGATTGGTCGAGCTATAATTTGATCACATTTCAGGCAATTATACACCCTTTTTCGATCTACTACATGCATCTTGAAAATAGTACGTTGGAAAATACGTGCTTCTCAGTCATATCAGATTATTTGATTCATGATATTACCGCAGTTCAAACAGTACAAAGAGTGTACAAAAAGAAAAAGAACTTCATTCATTTACATCATAGCAGAGATTTTGAAGCCAATGCTGAGTGGCATTTCTTTGCTACCAGACACGTCAAGTGTCCCTGTGATGACGTATTATACGCGCACGTTTTCTTGAGCCCCGAAATACCTACCCCCCCCCTCATTTGCCAACATTAGTTGAATTAAGAATAAATTATAGCAACGAACGTTTTAGACAAAGTCTAATAATCAGAATGTTCACTCCCGTGTAACAGAAACTATTTTGCATCGAAAAAGAAACAACAAATACGATGCAAAATTCCTTTCGTCAAAATAACCCAACTCCCCAGTCCTCGCGAAACGAGGGCTCAAGAAAACTTGCGCGGATAATAGGAGGAACTGTGAAAAGACTTTCTGCATATGCCAGTCTTCAGAGAACTCAAATCACTACCCGTAGAGAATTTTATGAATGAGGACAGAAGAGTGTCAATGGAATTTTCTTTTCATACACTACCAAAGAACAAGAACATGAACAAGTAGCTGCACGGTTAAATAGCGAAAGATTTATAGGGCTGAAGGCAATAGCGGGTTCCTGTCAGTGAAACTTTCAGTAAAACCTGTATCAAAATTCAAATGAAATGCCTAGCGAAGTTGTTCTCCAAAAAGCACTTCTGACTGAGTAGTCCATCAGCCGCCACGCAAGCGGAGCCCCTTTAACAATGAAAGTTAATGGCGGGTTACATACTGCCCCTTGCAGCTCAGGGGAGTATTACCTATGATAATCATTGTACGTGTTAAGATATCATCAAGAAAATTTAATAGCGTCTAGAGCATCCTGAATGCTATATTATTGCAGATTTTCATTAATTTAAAAAGGTTGTCTTTCGAGTAGTTTTTATTGTTGTATACCAAGAATAGCACGATATAAAATTGATATTTAATGAAAAATTGTACTGCATATCTTATATATACTCACAACATTTTAGAATTTGTTGAAATGTTTATACGAAGGCAAACAATTTTAAAGAATATAGGGGTGTTCACAAGTAGTCTTAGGTTTTAAGAGTGCATTGTTGCCGAACAATCGGTTAGGAAATTTTAATATTTTTCCTCGGCGATGTAGGCTTCATGGACAACAATATCCCAAAATATTTTCAAGATTACAGGTGTCATGTCATAAAATCTATTTTTTTGTATGTAATGACTCATATTTAAAATATGCGAATATTTTTCTGCCTCGAAAGTTTTATGCAAAGTTCTTCACAATGTGTTCTACAATTACTTGTACTTATGTGCTACATGGGCGCTGCAAGCGCACTCAATCGAGTTGAATCGACCTGAAACTTTGTATACATTGCGTTGCCTTGAGTCCAGAACCAGACTAAGAGATTCGAAGGGAATGTTTCAGGTGTATTACAGCTTTCGATTTTGGTGTTAATTGGACTATTCAAGTAAACGTAGGCTGCGAAATCAGCAATTTTCTGGTTAATATCCTTGATTCTTCAATTCCTGCCATTGTAAAGTGACTTCATTCTTTAGTAGGATGACATTTTTCACTACATTCTTTTATTGTATAATTTCTGTTGTGCTTGGTGTCTTTCTGACTTCCTGTCAGACGTGTTCGAGATGCAAACCATTAAATGTGAAGTGAATTTGTTAATTGAAGTAAATGATGCAGTTCGATTGTGTAACGTAGTAGTAATGAACGATAAAATTCAGTACTTTTCCGAGAGAGTCACTGCTGCGTGTGTGTTGCGAAGTATGACTTATGGTGAAATAGGATCTAAAAGTAATTTGGTGTAGTTCGACATAATTTAACAAAATGGTATAATGGTAACTTCTATGAAACATTGCAATTTCAAGATCGTGTTCTTCTCTGTAATTTCGTAGAAACAACTGTTTCGCAAGTAATGTGTAGGTTAAGTTACTGTATGAAGTGGGTGTAGCAGATATTGTCTCTTATGTGAAATAACCCTACAGGCATGCTGATAATTGCTCTATATGAAGATGATACATCCTGAAATTAGTCTGTTTGACTTTTATACATTTTGAAATTATTACTTATTCACTTTGCAAAATAGCAGCGATGTATTACTGTCCTGTTGGCTTCATCAAGTAATATTTGTAACAATTTCTTGCTAGTAAGAAATTACAATTAATATTTAGATATAGCAGCCCTGTGAGGTGTGTGAGAGATTAATTAATAATTGTGATGAAACATCGTCTTGTCAACCTGAGACTGATTCACATTTGATATACTCTGTGTTTTACTCTGACAGTGCAATAATTCGCAATGGTTGAAAAGGCAGTTACTTGTTATGGACGGTCAGGACTTTTAGAAACCTATGTCCGTGGTCAGTGGTACCGGGTTTTTGTGACTCTAGAGGATGATCATCTTAGTATAAGTTTGGACGATAGTTGTGAAACATCCACTGCCCTGAATGGCACCTTGAACAATAATAACAATAACAGTGTGGACATTAGTCTTATGGAATGTGTGGAAGTACCTCAATCGGTGGCCAATCAAAAAAGAATTGTGAGAGTATTCAAGTCGGATAATAATGGACTGGGTATATCAATCAAAGGTGGAAAAGAAAATAAAATGCCAATATTGATTAGTAAGATATTTAAGGGAATGGCTGCAGATCAAACTGAACAACTATATGTTGGAGATGCAATTCTGTCAGTAAATGGTGAAGATCTGCGGGACGCCACTCATGATGAGGCTGTGAAAGCATTGAAGCGGGCAGGCAAAGTTGTTGAATTGGAAGGTAAGAAAAAATATTAAATATTGAGGAGTTAAAGATAGGTTATTAATGTTTAAGAAACTTCACTTAACCCTTCAATGTGGTATGCTGTCTTCATTTGAGACATTTCTTTTACCTCTCTCTTCATGGGTATCTGTACCTAATCATAAAGGGACTTCTCTGTGGCTGGAAGCCATGTGCAGATATAGGGTCACTAGCAGTGCACTGCACTGGCTACATATTACTGCAAGGATGCACAAATCTCCTTTCCTTCACTTGCTTGGAACACTAATGTTATTGTAGGCTCTGTGTTGAAGGGTTAATAAGTAATTTAAACAGCTGTTTCTAAATAGGTGTCTAAAGATAGTGGCTGGTTTTAAGGATCTTTCATTCGATTAGTCTGTGTGTGTATGTGACTGCATGTGCGTGTTTGATTTCAGGGGAATCCATAAAATACTTTATATTTTGTTGTCTTTCCTTCTTTGCCTGGTGATTTTTCAATTCAAGTTAGTTTTTATTATCTTTAGTCATCATCATGTTTCACTTACATTAATGCAACTTGAAATTGATCAAATTTACTCTAATTTAAAAAAATGAATTTACTTTTGAATGTCCACCAATGTTTCTGAAAATAGAATACATTTTACTGTGATTAGTGAGATTTAGCAACACTTTAAAACAATGTTGAATAATACAAAGTATTTAGTAACAAAATATTCTAATGGAGTTAAAATGTCAATACAAACTGCCTGACATAATGTATCATTTTCATAATTTTTGAATGTTGAATTTTATTTTTAAGATCATTATTTTCTTCTCCTAAAAAACATCATGCAAAAGCATTTCCGCTCTTTTTATCCATGTTCCAACTGCAAACATGCAAGCACATTTATTTATTTGAAAGGAAGGAGAAAGTTTAAAAGAAATTGAAGTTTAGTATCATTGGTAAAATTTATTTTGTATAGTTGTCATTAATTTCAATGAAATGCTACTCAGTGCCCACTAATGCTGCCATTAATTTGTCAATTTACATGTGAAACAAATATTCTTGCAGGTGATAGTTGATTTAGATAATGTATTGCTCAGTAAATTGTTTGTGGCTCAATTATAAATGAGGTATTGAAGGGCTAATCTTTGTAATTTGTGTGCAATTGTCTCAAATGTATATTATTTGAAAAGGAGAAGAATGGGGGTATTTCCTGGGTCTTTTCAAATAATTTGTTTTCATTGATATTGGCATATTCACTTATGATTTTTATTAGTTATATATTCAGTTAAGATTATTTTTTCTTTTTTAAATTCGCTCATTTCTGTTCTGGTAAAATAATTTCCATTGTGAGCAGGTATTTTATGTATATCGAGAGGAAGAAATCTTATTACTTACATCAATTACATTTCATTTTGAAAGAAGTGCGGTATGTGTTTAATTTTTTTGTAGGGTATTTGGAACTTTGTAATAATTAATTTGTTTGTTCATTTATTTATTGTTTTGTTTCACCTACCTTGAGTCTGGAATACATTCATTAGGTGAAGTGTTAGTATTAATAAAGTTTACATTAATGGAATAAGATATTAAAATGATGAAATTTTGTTTGGTGTGGAAAAAAAAAAAAAAGAAAAAAAAATTGTATTTTAATCTACTTATTAATAGACTAAGTTAAAAAACCTGTGAAAGTAGATGTTGTATGAAAAAATTAACCAAAATAACAATGAAGAGTAGATATTTTTGTTTAGCCCAATGTCATCCTGGCAGGTTGTAGGGGTGGGGCCAGAGTTTAAAAATTTACTGATTCTCCATACTTTTAGATGAGCCCTTGACCACTTTTGTAGGTGCTGCGGGAGATTAACAATGGGTACCAAACATTATGCATATGTCTCATTAAATATTGATACAACTTCTTTTGGTTAGGTTTGATTTTACCTTCATTTTTCACAAAATTTCTTTCTTAAACTTGTCTTTTCATCAAATACCTTTCTGACTTTCCTCTTGTTCATTGGTTTTCCAATTTGTGTTTGGGACTCCTTACTTTATTTAGGGATAGTTTTGTTTTATTGCTTTTCCCTTTCACAAGTGATTTGTATAATTGAAGTGTCACTACCATTTTCTTAAAAATATTTTTTTCAATTCTGAGAAAATTAGGACATGAAATTTTAGTGTGTTAAGTTTGAGAGTACATACTCTTTTTAAATGATAGAGAAAAATAGTTTTGCTACAGTATTTCTGAAATAGTCAGAGTTTGTAAATTAATTGTGTGAAAAAACAACAACTGAGAAATGGTTATTTTGATGTGAATGCTGTTTAGAAATTATTTGCTTTCTGCAGAGCCTAAATGTTCATCTTAATTATTGTTATTGAAATTAATTATACTTTTCTGCCAAGTAATTGTCAGCCTGGCATGAGAGAATAATGGTGGTGTGTGTTCTGTTTTACGAAGAATTTTGGTAAAATGCCACTCTATATTAAAATGCTCAATTCAAACTTTTTTCAGTATGTTTGCTTATGGCTTTGATGACCCTGTCATATTCATACCGATCATGCAGTGAGTAAATGTACTCTATAGGAAATATCTTCTTCGGCTGATAATTAATTATAGTTGAAAGTTAGTCACAGATGAATTGTGGGATGCAATAGGACTGTTGCACAGAGGGGCACCCAGAGAAAGCGAGAGGCCTGGGGGCAGTAGATCCGTGAGGGCACCTTATTTCAAGCAAATGCACCCCCATAGATAAATGGAATAAATTTCTTTAAGCAACAGAAGAAACGACTGTGGTTAATTTGAATTCAAGTAAATACATTTTTAAATTTGCTTTAAATGAAAATAATTTGGGGCCCCAATGAAGTTTGGGCCTGGGGTAAGTTGTCCCAGCTGCCCATCTCTTCTGGGCTCTCCTGCTATCATAAAAGATAAATGCACAACCACACTCATGCCCAATGTTGTTCTTGAATCCATTACCTGTTAATTATTGTTAGCCTGTTTCTTGCCTAGTAATCTCAACTTTTGTGATCAGGAAAACAATACTAATGATAGAAATAGATACATGAATACTAGTGATAGAAACGGCTGTTACTATGTTCAGTGTATTCGGTCTTATAAGTAATGACAAAACGGCTTTCATTCTTGATTGAGGAATTATTGGTTATTAGGTGAAGAATAATTATTGTATTATTGACTGTTGATTATATTATGCTCTTATTGACATTTACTTATCATGTTTTTATTTTTGTTGTGTGTTTTTGTTTGAGATAACTATCCTTCATCAATGGTTTCTCTTGTTTTATTTATTCATTTTCATTAAGAGGAAGCATAATTAATTTTTTTGTGTTTAAAAACGACTACAAAAAAACAAAAAAACAAAAAACAAAAAACAAATGAACCAAAAAAACAAAAACCAACAACAGTAATTCAAATGTTGGCCTTGTATTAATTATATTGTAATGGTTTAAGTTAAATATATATTAATTGGAATTATAATTTCTTTCATTGTTGTCATCACCTGAATTCACGACTTCCGATGTTAGGTGTGTGTTCTACTCCAGATTGCAACCTACGTCCAAAGGAACAGATCCGGAGTAACTTTAGATGCCTTTGTACTTGTGCAAAATATGGGCTGTTCTCAAATACGCTAGATCTTGCATGTCCCAATGTTTTGAATGACCTGGAAATTTGAACAAGTTCTTACAGACTTCGCGGAATTTATCCCAGAGTTCAGATAAGTATCGGCACGAATATTTAAGTGACTCGATTATCCCACATCTGTCTGATCTCTACTTCCGACCTTTTGTATTTAAGAATTTCCTTGCTTTCTTTCAGCGTGTCCTGATCCCACGCACAACATCTAAAAGTTAACGAGTTTTTTTCTCCAAATCGGATATAATACCCGGTTTAATTGATGCTATTGTACGATCAGTATGACTTTCATTCTTCTTTTAAGCTACAAATATTTTTTTCTTTGATTTTCCCCATTCCCTTTTTTTTTCTTTTTTGTTTGTCCATGGAGTGATCTGCCCTCCCATATCATTAACATTTTTTGTCACACTGCATTGACAATCGTGCGTGTTTTACGTAGGTATCTTCGCAATGCTTCTTGCTGCACCTACAGTGCCTCTATACCTATTCTTTCGGGCAAATTTAATGACCAGCCTCTCAAATGCATCTTCTTGATGACTGACCACATAATTATGCATTCCGACTATTGCATTGCGCCAAGAGGCTTCAATTTGACCCGAGCCCTTCCCCCTCCTCAAAGTATGATACATACGTTTTCCATTCGTTGCACTGAAGCAGGGCAGAAACGTCATCGTTCCGTAACAGTGCTGCCCCACGCGTGAAGGGCAGCCACGAATGAAATGGACAGCTGTACTTGGTCTGTAACACTGATAGAACTCGAAAAATAAGAATTTTTATCGTTATTATATTTAGCAAACTTGTGTGAAGTACTTTGGTAATTCTTACGCATAAGGGCGAATTATTGTGTGATTTCTTTATTTAAAAACTAGCGAAAACTTCAAATGCGTATTTGTCGAAAATTCATTTTTCGAGATTTGCTAGTAATCGATATAGTACACTTCATTTTGAACCGAAAAAATTGTGTAGAATTTTGGTTATTGAAAATCATAAAAAAAATAATGAGTATTTCCGCTGGCGTATGTATAAGCGTGCGAGAAACATTTCTTGGCACATATTTAAATGATTTTGTAAGGGTATTATTCATTTTTTAAAATATTTACTTTATTCGCGTTTCGAAATTAGTACGTACCTTCACTTTGGTTTCTAAATAGCACTTGATTTGTTAACATGAAGTTATTCAAGGTTGAATTTTAGGGATTCTCAAACTAATTTTCCAAACTTCGCGTAAGTCACAAAAATTATTTTAAGACATTTCTTGTAAAACATGATATACTCCATCATTCGAAGTGTCCCTGCGTGACAGAAGATCAATTGCCTTCACAATTTCACCGCAAATCCAAATCCACATTCATATATATATATATATATATATATATATATATATATATATATATA